AACCAGCAAACTCTTTATTGTGCCTAAGAAAGTGTGAGTTAAAGTTTCTATCTACTTCCTAAGGAGATGGTAAGCTCCTTGTATTTAGAAGAGGCTGGACATCTTTTCTTTGGATCCTTGCTATACAAAGTGTAGGCAAAGGACCATCAACAATACCTGAACACTTGTTAGAAATGCAGACTCTCGGAGCCTCCCCCCCCCAGATCTGTTGAATCAAAGTCTGCATTTTGACAAGATCCTCCCAGGTGATCTCCTTGCACATTGCAAGATGGAGAAACACTTCCCTAGAAACAATTCAAGCTTCAAAAAGAACTAGATGACTTTTAAGATTCTTCCCAATTGGGAGCCCTCTGTCTAGTCTCCAACTTTCCTCTACAAAGCTGGAAAGAGAGGAGCTGGGCGGGCCTGGAGGAAGCACCTTGGCTGGAGAAGGGAGGCAGTGGATCCTCAGGGAAGTCATTCTTGTCGTGCTTGAAAGGTGAGGTTCACATTGCAGATTCTCTTTTCTTTTAAGTTTGAGCTATAAGTGCTTATGGTTGAAGCGCCAGGAGGGCTGTAGCCAGATAGCCATGGAGAGGAGAGGGGGAAGGAGAAGCAGCCCAAGAAACAAGGGATGAGAGGCAGCTGGTGCCCCTCCCCCAGGAGGTGACTTCTTTAATTTAACCCTTTGTTTGCTCTGTTGAGGGAAAAACACATTCTGTTTAGACATGCCCAGGACAAAATCGTGGCTGTTGTTTCAGAGGACAGCAAAGAGTGGTAGAGAGAAGCCTCCTGTTTTTCATTCTGAAATGAGAAAATGTTGGGGGCTGGGAGGAGAGGGCTGAGTTGCCAGACCAAGCCTGTGTGAGTCTGGGAGGCTGGTTGTGTCTTCTCTGCTTGGTAGGTGATGGGTGCTCACAAGCATTTGCTAAGCCACGAGACAGCGTGCCACGTGCAAATGCATTGTGGGATCCTGGCTTGGATCCTGGATCACACAAAGTTACTGCGAAGAGCATTATTGGGACAACTAGAAAAATTGGATACGGACTGTAGATGAGATGATAGCATTGCAACAGTGTGAAATCCCTCGAACTTGATAAATGTAGTTATGAAAGGGAATGTCCTTGTTCTTCGAGGATCATGCTCAAGTTTAAAGAGGAGCAGGGACCAAATGTCGGCAAGTTACCGTCACACGGCTTCGTAAAACAATAATGATCTTCCTGTATGTGTGTGTGAGTGTGAGAGTGTGTGTGTGAGAGTGTGTGCGTGTGTGTGTGAGTGTGCGTGAGTGCGTGTGTGTGTGTGTGCGCGTCAGTGTGTGTGTGGGTGTGAGAGTGTATGTGTGTGCGCGTGCGTGTGTGTGCGTGCGCGTGTGTGTGTGCGTCAGTGGGTGTGTGTATGTGAGCGTGTGTGTGTGTGTGTGTGTGTGTGTGTGCGCGTGTGTGTCTGTGCGTGAGTGTGTGTGTGTGTGCATCACAGGGGCAGACACAGAAGTTTGTATTTTACTGTCAGTTCGGTTAGGCTCAAACTACACTCCCCCACTCCCTTTCTCTGTGTGGCTGTAGGTTAGAGGAGGCCAAAAGCAACGTCCGGAAAACTCGGCCCAAGCTTTGAGGCGGGAGCCATTACTCTCACAGGATCTTCAGAGCCCCTGCAGTGAGAGACGTACGTGGCCGCGCAGGTACAACAGCAGTCCAGCCCGTCCCTGCTGGCCCTGCTCTGTGCCCTGCTGAGGGACAGTGGCGCCAGGTCATCCACCAGACAGCCACGGGTGTTAGCTACGCAGAGGCAGGAGGAAAGTCCTCCCTAGACTTTTCCCGGGGATAGCTACATCACTTGCAGGGCTCGGTGCAAAAGGAAAATGCCGGGCCTTTTGTTTAAAAAGCAGGAAAAGAAGTGCTATTGAAGGTACTAATATATAAAGCTTTTCTTTCCTTCCATGGTCTTTCTCTCAACCCGTCATGGTGCTTCTCAACCTTCTATTCAATGCTGTTCGAAATAAAGGAAAATTTCGATTATTAGCACAAAGCACCCCGTGCATCTTGGTAGTATGCAGATGCAGACGAAGAGCATTTACCTTGCGCGTGCGATCACACAATACGTACTTCGCGCCCATACACGAATGTGCAGCTTGTTCTTTCCAGAAGAGTGGAAATCTGCACAAAACTAAATCTGTTTTCCTCTCCATTGCACACTTTCTGCCACCACGCTGCCTGTGCCTTACTGATGAGCAAGAAACGGAAAGTCCGGGTTGCCCGGTCCTTCCGTTTCCTCTACGCCGCCGTCTCGGTCTCCGGTGCCAGAGGTCGACCAATACAGAGAGGGAGCTGGCGCGAGAAAGGATACGCTCGGGTTCCTTGGCGGCTGAGTACTCAGGACACCTTCTTTCTGAGTTCGAAGACAGTTCTCGGCTCACATGGAGAGTGCGGCCTCTCAGGGCCCTCGAAGGCCCCTTCGCTCGGCTGCGGACATAACACACTCACCGGCACCGGCTTCGAGTCTCCCTCAACTCCTGCGCGTCGCGTCGCCGCTGACGCTCGCGGTCACGGCGTCTCCGAGGTTACGCGAGAGGGGGCGAGGCGCGGCAGCAGACGCGACTTTGTTCTGGTTCCCCCGCCCGCTTTCGGACCCCTACTTCCCGACTGCCCTCATGACCATCTGCGGCCTTGTTCCTGTAAGAAATCCCTCATCCCATCGCATTCGCAGTGGCTCTGCTCCCCAGCTTGAACCTCGACCGAGACGGAGACAGAGTTAAATGTGGCGACGTGTTAACAACTGGTGGATCCAGGTGAAGTGTATACTGGTGCCCAGTGGCCGATTCTTACAACTTCTCTGTAGAATTCAAGTTTTTCTAAATAAGATTTAAAAAATCAGAATTTTGAGAAATGAATCAATGAGTGAATGAATGACGGTTGCTGTTAACTAATGTGCTTCTATTTCTAGTTTCAGATCTTTATTTAGTTGACCACGTGCACAGTAAAGCACCTCCCTTATGTATCTCATACTCATTTTCCATCTACTCATTAGGACTTTGAGGAAGTCTGGCTCCATTTTGCTGGATTTTGAGCCCATATCTCCCTGCGTTGGGGGGAAAATGGTTTTGTGCGTATGTGTTGCTGTTCTGATGAAAGAGGCTCTTGTGCCCCAACCCCAAAGAATTGAAAGTTTGACGCTGTATATCATAGAACCTTTATTATTTTTCCTCTAAATTCTTAGAAACTTACGTAATGCCCGTGCTCTAGTAATGACACCATTTATAGACATTTAAAATGCATCTTCCTTTATAAATATTTTACATTTGGTCCATAGAACAGATAATTTTACTAAATAATACTGTAATTTTTCTTTAAAACAGGCTCTGTATATAGTTTGAATATGTATATATAACATATATTTTTTATATAGAGATAGATTTACTTGGTGTTCTGAGAATAAATCCTTATTGCAAAAAAAAAGCATATATGATAATACAATATCTTTTTCCCCCCGGGCAAATACTAAAAAAAAGTTACACATATTCACAGTTTTCACAGTAATTGTACGACACTTAATATTGTGCTCTATAAGATAGGTTTGGATGGAAATCAGTTAGGGGATTTCTTGCCAAACATCTCACTTAGAATTGCTTACAAACATTAAATACACTGCATTTGTCTTAGAAAGACTTGGTCTCAGTTTTACATTGAAGAACAAAGAGAAAGAAGTCTTTCTGCCCTTATTCTAAAGGAATTCACACACAGATGGGGGGTTGGGACCATGACACACAGCGATGGGTTCCTTTCATTCTAAACCCTATGATTGAACGATACGTACGCATTTTGATCACGGATTCACCACTGGGCATTTGGGATGCCTTAGCAATGAGACTATTTTACAGAGGACCTCAGGAAACAGCTTTAGGTTTCCGACACAATATCAAATGAGACCCTACGTGCCACGCGTGAGAATGAATGTGCATGTGTGTGCATTTATATGTGTACACATTTTTTTCTCTACAATAATGTGCTTAATATTCTGAGGGTAATATCTTATTGCAAGAACTGGTATGCTGGTCACTTTCGGATGAGAATGACAAGAGATTAAAAAACCCAGTCACAGTTATTTACCATGGTTATTAAGGATTAGTCGTAAAACACGGCTGTGAGCTAACTCGCTAAGGAGCTAAGGGGCGCGACATAGGATCTGCTACATGGGAACCCGCCTTCCTGGCACATGAGAAGCGCTGCGTTACTGGAGCTTGCCAGACGCGGCCTTCGCTCGGCTCGCCGCCACCGCGGAGCCCAGTTCCAGGGAGGAACAAGCAGCGCTTGCCAGCGAAGCCGTCCGAACCCCGAAGCGCGGTGTGGGCGCGGTGTCCCTGGATGAACGCCCGCTCCTCGGTGCGAGGTTTCGGTGGCAGTGAGGAGGCTCCTGCTGAGAACCGCGAGGGAGGGGAGGCGGCAGCGAGGGTGGTCGTTTAACAGGGAGACCGAGGGCGAATGGCCCGTCTCGGCTCGGACAGACCCTTCCCCTGATTTCCTGGACATTGTTTTAGACTCTGCAAAACCGGGCAGCCTCAGAGAGCTCGGAGCTCCTGATGAGGGAGTTCCCGGTGGGACTGAGGCCCCGGGACGGCGACACAGAGAAATCAATTGTGCTTGCGGCAGCCGCCCAGCGAGCGGGCCGATGGCCGCGGGGCCAGGTCCACCAGGACCCGCCTGGCGAGGAGGGGCAGGCGCGGCGGGGGAAGGACGCCCCGCAGCCAGCCCGCGACGAGCAGCCCTGGGGACGCCGACTGAGGTCCTGCGGGTTTTGTCCAGCTGCCTCGGGAAGGAGAAAGCCAAGATGCGAGCCGGAGCCCCGAGATCCCCACGGCACAAAACGCGCTTTCGCGCGGAGGGAAGGGACGCCCGCACGTCCGAGATGAGGTGACAGTCACCGGTCGGCAGCGGGAAGTCAGGAGGACTAAAGCCAGGAGCGGGTGCGCGGCCTCGCCGGCGGGAGGAGAACGGTCTACGGCCCGGGTGCAAACGCCGACCGCTGGATGCTTACGGGGCCTGGGGTGAAAAGGTCACCAGCCCACCGGGTGCCGGCGGCCACCAGGCACCCTTGCCCACCGCAGGGCCCACCCAGGGGTTAACCGTCCTCCCACCTCCCTCTCCCTGCGCGGTGATGGTGTCTGGACTCGCCACTCGAGGTAGGTTGAGACAGAAGCTATCTTCAGACATCAAGTGGTGGTCGCGCTCAGCCAGGTGGGGGGTGAGAGAGCCGGGTGGGCGAGCGGCCCGCCCCTAGATGTAGGCCTCTTTGCTGGCTGAGCCCCCGGCCTGGGGCTGCTCCGGCCCATTCTCCGGGCGAACGATGTCTTCGCTGGGCTGGATCATGACCTGGATGCGCTGAGGGCACCCGAGAGGAAGGGGTGAGGCTCTCTGGGGAAAATTCGGGCTGGGATGGTTGGGGACTGGCCGCTCCCTTCTCCTGCCCTCTCTTCAGCCCTAGCATGTCTGCTCTGCCTTCAAATGACACCCAGACTCCAGCCACACCCCCACACCCTCCACCCCCTCTGCAGTCCCCGCCTGGTCACGCCACACCCCCTTGCAGTCACTCCTAACTGGCCCTCACCTTCCACTCTTGCCCACCACCCCTTCATTCTATTCTCCACATAGCAATGGGAAAGGGCCCCATGAAAACCAAAGACAGGTCATGTCCCTCTACTCCTCAGGACTCAACAAGGGCTCCCATTTGACCAAGAGGAAATGCCAAAGCCCTGCAAGGCCCTACAGGATCTGGCCCCCCGTCACCTCCCAGACCTCAGTGTCCTCTCCCTCTCCCCTCACTTATCCACCCCAGCCATATGGGACTCCTCACTGCCCCTCACATACATCAGGCATGATCCTGCCCCAGGGCCTTTGCACATGCCGTGCCCTCCATCTGCACAGCCTTCCTTTCAGATAGTTACATAGCTCACTCTCTACCTCCTTAGGTCTTGGCTCCAGTGTTTTACCTTCTCAGTGAGGCCTCACCCAGTACTCCCTAAACCCCCTACCTACTTTATTTTTCTCCAAAGTCCTTATCCCCATCTCATGTGCTTTTATTTTCTTAATTGTTTATCTTTCTCTGCCAGAATTTAAACTCAAGGAGGGTGGGATTTCTGCTTGCTTTGTTCATGGCTGTCATGCCCAGCACTGACAATAGCGTCTGGCACATAGAGGTGCTCAGCACATACCTGCTGAGTGGTTGGGCCCCCTATTACCCTCATGGCACACATCCCCCGAGATCCTGCCCCGTCAGCTTATACCCTGGCCTCTGGTGTGTCTTGCCCTTTCCTAGAACAAAAGCTTTGGACCTGGAGCGGGAAGAAAGGAATGCAAGCACTGGCTCCGTTCACAACAAGGGTGGGGTAAGCAACTCCCCAGATCGGGGCCTCAGTTTCCCCATCTGTGAAAGGAGGAGGCTGGCCCAGCAACTCCAGGGGCTGCGAATGGGGCTGCCTGTCTTCCCTATGCCTCGGGCCTTAGAGCTCCCCCTGCTGGCGCCCAGGGGTTCTGGCAGGCATATGGTCCAGGGCAGTGAGGTGGAGAACCAGTGCCCCCTGTCTTCCAGCTGTGGCCGTCCGCATTCTGACCCTCCACTCCTCCTCAGTGAGGTCTTCCCAGCCAGCGCACACCCCCCGGTGCCTCCTGTACCTGGGCATCTCCAGCACTGCCTTGCTCCACTCAAGAACTCAGTGCAACTTAACAGAGAGCCAGCGTGGACCTAGTACAGTGCGTGATGGCGGGCCCCCCACTGGGGGCAGCGTGCCTTTCCTTGTGGCTAAGACCACATTTTCTCTATATCAAGCCCACAAAGGCGATCTGGGGTAAGCCCTGAACAAATCTGACCCTATCCTTCATCTGTTCCAGACCCTGGAAGACTCCCCATTGCCTCCGGACAAAGTACAAAGTTCTTGTCTTGATTTTCAAAGCCCTTCATGATCTGGCCAGACCTTCCTACTCCCCTGCCCTCATCTCTTATCAATCCCCTCCTCACACCCCTCCCCACTCTACCCTCCAGCCACACTGATCGCTGGTCAGTTCACCATATGGTATACCCCTGGACCTTTGCACATGCTTCTCAGCCTTTCCCCCCCTCCCCCTTCTAGGAACATTCTTTCTGCTTCTACTTTTAAGTCTGATTTACCCTCTTTTCACCCTTCTTTTACGTCTGATTTCCTCTTCCAGGAAGCCTTCCCTAATCCTTCTTACCCCAGGCAGGGCTATTTGCTCCCACCTCCCCAGCTTGCCCGATCTATTGTCATTAGCTGTTGACTTGTCTGTCTTCCCCACTAGACTGTGAACTTCACAAAGGGCAGGGCGGTGCCCAGCGCAGCAAGGGAAGGGGACTAGCAATTCGAAGAGTGGAAGGGGCTTACCTGCTTCAGGGAGCCCTTTAAGGTGAGGAACATGTAGGCCATGTACCCAGGGATGAGGACCATGGAAGACAGAGCCATGAGCCAGCCCACGCCCTGCCCCCACTTGGGGAAAACATAGCTTCCCATGGTGAGAGGAGTCATCTGCACGGCACTGAAAATGAACACGCCCTGGGGAGGGGCAGCAGTCGGTCACCCAGAGTGGACAGCCTTTTAGCCAATAGGTCCCCTGCACTCCACCCCTGTCGAAGCTGACCCTTAAAGGGCCCAGCATCATGGGAGTCCTGCCCCAAGGTCACTGCTAGTACATATGGTGCCTTTGTGAGCAACAGAAAAAGCCACCCTCTCTGGGAAGAGCAGTAGGAAATGGCATCCACTCCAGGGGGACCAATTAGAAAAGGGTGTCCCTTCCTCCAGGTGCACCAGCTTGGGAAGCAGAATGAGGGTTGCATTCAGTTCCCAGTCTGCCATCGTCTCGGTACCCTTGTGCAGGACACACACATGCAATGGCTCAGCCCCCCTCCCCCCCGCCTCAGGGACTGCAGTGACCCACTCCCAGGCCCATGCCTGCCTCAGCTCCCCCTCGTGGGAGGCAGTGAGGGACACTGAGAATGAGAGGCTTCGCAGTGCCAAGAGCTTGGGCCTCCGAATGAGGCCGAGCTTGTTTGAATCCCAGCACTGACTCACTGGGTGAGCCCCAGACCTTCAGAGGTAAGTGGGGCAGTAACGCCCCTTTCCCTGCAGTTCGTGAGGATGGGGTCATGTGGCTGGTGCAAAGTAGGTGCTCAACAAAGAGTAGGGAGAGGATTATTAAGGAGCAGGGTTTCTGTGGCCTCTCCCATCTGCCTTTGCCTCCAGAAATTTCTCTCTGGACTGGAGCACCCCTCCCTCCGCCCCAGGGCCTGGTCTAGCCTTGTCCTAACACAGCTGCTCGAGCCTTGCTCTTACCGCCACGATGATGGGGGTGAAGAAAGACCAGCAGAGTTTCCACCAGATGCAGGGCCTGGAGCCAACCATCTCTTGGATATTGTCGTAGAATCGGTTGACACCTGTGACGTTGGCAGCAGGAGGGATGGCTGAGCTGCGGGAACTGCAAGCTCAAAGCCCACTTCTACCAGTTTTTGTCAGTATAACCATGGACAAGCCATCTAACAGCTCTGAGCCCTGGTTTCCTTGTCTGTATCCTGGAATAATACTCTGGGGTCCTTATGTCCTAAGTATTTTTCAGTAGCCCAATCCCCACAGCAAGTGGGTTGTGTAGGAAAGCAAGTCTCCTTAAAGTCAAGACATCTGCCAACGAAAGGGTACTTATAAAATGTGTCCCCCTGCTCCCAACGTCCCTCCCTTCCAACATCTATCCCAGCCATCCCTGCAAAGGCTTCTCGGGGCAGGGGCAGTTCTTCCCTGATGGTCTGATGCTATAAGAAACTGGCCGTCGACTGCGAAGAACAGCAAATCTCACAAAAAAGAAAAACCCAAACCCACAGGACGTGTTGAAGAGTGGTGTTGCGCCCTGCTCAAAATACGAGCAAAGTCACTCATCGGTGAGGCTCCGACTGTTAGAACACTTAGAGAGAGAAGAAGGGACGATGACGGGGGATGAGGTGGCGGGTACTGCAAAGAGGATACACAGAATGTCACGTCTGTTTCAAAGCATTTGACCTGCGGTGACAGTTGAATGGGCAGGAGGATATCCTTTTGACTGTCATGCAGTTGGCTCAGGAAACTTAAGCCACAAAATAAACAAATTAAAATCTACGCTTCCTTTGTTATTTTTCTAAGACAGTGCACACTTTTAATTATAGCCTAGCTTTTGTTAAATATATAACTGTAAGAAAATTTTTTTACAGTTTTGGTTTCCCTTTTCTAGATAAAATCTCAACTAACCCTTTTTGTTCCAAGGTTTGTGAAGAAATGTTGGCTCCCATTTTAAATGGATTTATTTACCTGTTCTATCTTCTAACATGGAAACCTCCTGTGCTAACCTCATGGAATTGTACTGTGAAGAATCAATAAATTAATGTGGGGGAAGGGCCTGGTGTTCAAGCTGTACCTGTTGAGTGATGGCTGAAGAAAGGAATGAACGAATGAATGAATGAATATGGGAGGAGGCGTTGATGCTCACCGTAAAACCAGGAAATAGAGACGCATTCAAAGAACACGAGGAACAGCAGGCTCATGCCACTGGCAGAGTAGTAATCAAAAAGCTTGAAGACATAAATGCCCCCCTGCAAGAGGAAGAGAGGTGAGAACAGGCCACTTCCCGCAGGGCCCAGGCACTCGCAGATGGCATGGGCTTCGGAGCCTCGCAAGGCTGGGATTGGGCTGCACTGCAGCACGAAGGCTTAAGGGCGGATCGGAGGAAGCAAGGAGGACCTTGTGACCATGAAAGGATGTTCACACTCTGCGGACTTGGGAGAAAATATCCAGGTGGCAGAGGGAGATGCCCCATTTCTGGCAGGGTGGAGGGCAGGGGGAGTTGGGCACCAGGGCCATCTTTCCACAATGTAAATCAGTCATGTTCTCCCCTGCTTAAAACCTTCCATGGCTTAAATAAGACAATAATATAAATAAGTACAGGGATATCCAATGCAATCCGATCGAAATGCCTTGGCCTGCTGGGTTCTGCGTGGTCTGGTTTTTCATCCCCCATCCTTCACCCCTCCCTTTCACGCCCTCTCCCTCTGGCACACTGCCCACCACCTGTCCCGCAAACACCCAAGCCCGTTCCTGCCTCGGGCCTCCACACCCGCTGTGCCTTCTTCCCTCGCTCTTCCCCTGGCTGGCTCTCCCTCATCCCTGAAGTCTCAGCTCACTGCGACTTCCTTAGGTAGTCCTCCCCTGACCGCCTCGTCTGAGGTAGAGCGGCCATTCTTTATTCTACTGTCCTCTCTTCGTCATGGCACTCAACACTCTGAAATCGTCTGATTTGTATGTCAGTCTCATCACCACAATGTGCGGTCCCAGAGAGCAGACACAGTAGCGTCTGACGCGTTAGTTACTGAAGTTTCGGGTCATGCCAGGCCCCTCGCGGGTGTTCAACAACTGTGAATGAATGAAGGAGTAACTGAACACTAGCCCAGAATCAGAACTCCATTTGGATCAGGGGTGGTTTTGCGGATGATAAATCAGACCCGCAGAGATGAGCTCATGTCTTTAGAGTCATTTATATCTACTGTACAATTCATCGGTTATGTCTCTGCGTCTTCTGACTAGACTCGGAAGGCCTCGAATGCAGAGAGCGTTTCTCATTCCTATCTACGCGGAAAGAAAAGTGGGAATGCAAGGGCGCTTTGGGCAGTGGCAACCCCAATCTGGCTCCCTGGCGAACTTTTGTGAGCCTTTCGAAACTCAGCTCCTACAAAACTTCTCCTCCAGGAAGCAGTCCCTGGTGCCCCAGGCCAGGTTGGGTGCTGCATTCTCCAGCTCTGCCCTATACTTCCTGGCTCAGCGTGTCTGCTGCCAGCCTGGGAGCCCCCGAAGGGCAGGGACCCCATGTGACTCCCTGCTGTGTGCCCGGGGCTGGCACAGAGATGTGCTTAATGAAGGGATGAAAGGTGGGATATGGCAGGGCTGGAAAAAGAAGGCGCTGGGAGCAGCGCCGGGGCTGACCCAGGCGCTGGCTGAGCCTACCTGGGTGATGTTAGAGAGGCCGATCAGGTAGGAGATGATGCAGACAGCGGCGATGAAGAGCTCGCGGCGGTTGCGGAGGAGTCGGGGGTACTCGTCCACCAGGGCCGTGATGAAGCCCTCCACTGTGCAGAACTTCAGGTGGGAACAGAGGTCAGCCACCTGCCGCAGCCCTCAGCCCCTCCCACCCACAGCTCAGCCCCACAGCATAGGGACAGCAGGGCCAGGAGGGCCCCAGGATCCAGGCTGCCTCTGCCTCTGACTCACTTTGTGACCTCGGGACAGTCCCTCCCCGCTGGGCATCAGTTTCCCCTTCTAGAAAATGGAGAATTTGGCTGAGGTGTTTCCTGAAGTTTCATGCAGTGGGACATTCTAAGGGTCTGAAATTCTTGGTCATCTTCTTGGGGGCCTCAGAGTGGTCTTCCACCCCTGCTTGCTTCTGGACTGAGAAGTCGGGGTGGGGGCTCCTCACCTGGCTGTCAATGCCCAGCATCAGCAGCATGGAGAAGAAGAGGATGGCCCAGAGGGGAGAGATGGGCAGCTGGGTCACCGCCTCTGGGTATGCCAGGAACGCCAGCCCCGGGCCTGCGACGGAAGTAGGCAGGAAAGAAGGAAAAACAGGTCCTAAGCTGGCAGCATGCCACCACTTTCTAAGCTGTATTTCACTTCATCTGCACAGTAATCTTTTGGGAGAGTGCTGTCAGCCCCTTATCTGCAGGTAAGGAAACAGAGCAGGGGATGCGGGGCCACAAGGGTTGTGTCCAGAGGCACGAGGACCAGTGAGGAGCTGTGTCCACTGTCTGGACAAGGGACTGCCACAGCCTGGCCAGTGGTAGGGACAGTGCAGGTGCAGAGAGGTGGCCAGATGGGCATATTTAGGAGGCAGAAGGGGCAGGGCCTGGTACTGGCTGGCTCACAGGGTGAGGGTGAGGGAAGAGCCCAGGATGATGCTGAGGTCCCTGGCCTGGGCACTGGGTGATGACGAAACCCTTCCTGCAATGGGAGCACAGTGGGGAGGAAGGCTGGGGGAGCCTTGTTTGACATGTGTCCGGGTGTCTGGTGGAGGTGTCCAAGAGATCAGAGAAACCTTGGAATGGGAAGGAAAGATCCTAACCATCCTGGGTCTGGCTCTGGAGGGGCGTGAGGGAGGAGGGCAGGGAGTTCCAGAGAGATGAGAAGGGGGCTGTCATCGTAAGGGAGATTAGACCCTCAGCAGAGAACGTTCCTCTCCATACGACCAGCCCAATTCTCCAAGGGACAAGTCATGTCACCCCCAGAGCCTCAGGGGCCTCGGCCGTGCACACAGTGGGTCCCGCCCATCTGCTGCCTGCCTGGCTGAGCGGGTAAGGGCTGCCTGGGGTTTTCCTTGGCCCCGTGGCATTGACAACTGTATGGCGAGCAGAGTGGGCACAGCCCACTTGGTGAGAACATTTTTGGAGCCAGGACAAAAGTACAGACTTGGGGGGCTTTGTATTATGGTGGTGAACATGTCCAAATTGGACCAAGGCTTATGCCCCGGTGGCAAAAATGGGTCTTTCCCCCCAAAAAATCCAGGATTGTGCTGGATGTGCCAGTATGGCCAGGAGACTAAGAGCCCAGGCTTTGCCGTGAGCCAGACCTAGGCTCAAACTCCAGATCCGCCCCCTTTCTGGCTCCGTGACCTTGGGCAGGTGACTCCGGTGAGCCTTAGTTTCCTCATCTATGAAATGGGGATAACAACAGCATCTATCACGTATCACTGGGAAGATTCAGGGGTACAGTCCATGTAAAATGCTCAGCGCGTTGCCTGGCACATAGGGAGTGCGCAGTGCCAGCGAGCCAGGTGGTGGTGAGCGTGACACAAACGCCAGGCGGTAAGCACTTCCCTCCCCAGGAGCCCAGACCCTCCACGTGCTGCGCTGACCTGAAGCCGCCACATCAGCAATGGACCGCTTGGTGACATGGGCCATGAAGCCCACGATGGAGAAGATGACGAATCCTGCGAACATGCTGGTGCACGAATTGATGCAGCAGACGATGATGGAGTCCCTGCAGCGCGGGAGGGGCGGGGTCGGCGGGGCCGGCGGAGTGGGGCGGGGCCGGCGGGGTGGGGGGGGAGGGGCTGCGGGCAGGCGTGGCCGGGAGCAAGCACGGGGAGGGCCGGGCCGGAGGGCCGCAGGCAGGGAAGGGGCGCGACCAGAAGGAGTGGCATACCCTTATGGATGTGGCTCAGAGGCGCCGAGCCGAGAGGGCCAAGTGGCCAAGGAGGGACCTAGCCCTCGATCTAGGCCCGGAAGGAAGGGGCGCCCGTGCACCTGTAGACGTTGTTGTGGAAGGAGTTGTAGCTCCCGAGAGCGATCAGGGATCCCAGGCCCAGCCCGTACGAGAAGAAGATCTGGGTAGCCGCATCCAGCCACACCTACAGGCGGAAGTACCAACAATTGTCAAAGTAGCAATTGCAGCCGCAGCTCGCCAGCCCCACCTGGCAACAAACCTACTTTACCGCCGAGGGTCAGAGGGGCGCCACGACTTGTCCTACCGCCAGTCAGGGGCGCTCAAGACCCAGGCTGTGCCCTCCAGGACGCACACCCGGAGGGGCGCTCACCTCGGAGTCCGACAGCTTGCGGAAGTTGGGCGTAATGTAGAAGAGGATGCCCTCCTTGGCCCCGGGCAGCGTCACTCCGCGGAAGAACAGGATGATCAGCATGATGTAGGGGTACGTGGCAGAGAAGTAGACCACCTGGGAGGAAAGTGCGTGAGGGGTCACACCCCCTCCAACACGATCACGCTCCTCCTCGCCCGCTTCACCTGCAGCCACACCTGCTGTGGCTCTGGGCTTGGTGCCAGTTCTTCTTCCTCCAGGAAGCCTTCCTGGATTCCTGCTCTGCTTAGCCACTTTTTGAAGCTCCTCCTTGGAGTTTGAACCAACCAGCTCAGCGCTTGGTTTTTTCCTTCCCCTGTCCCCTCTTATTTTTTGACTTCTAAATTATCGGAGTAATTTGGCAGGAAAATTTAAAAAAATTTAAAATTTAAAATTTAAAATTTAAAAATTTAAAAATTACCTATGAACACACACACAATTAAAGCTCCCCTCAACAGCTACTAGAATGTAAATTATATGAGGGACAGGGCTTACGTTATTCACGTCTCTGTTCTCCCAATACCTGGAACAGTCCATGGTATATTGTAGGCATTCAATAATTGTCCGACAAATACATATTAATAAATGCATGGTTGTTAACATTTTACTGTTCCTCCCCTGAGACTCTCCTTTGCATATATAATCACATTTTCTTATAAAATGAGGTTCAAATTACGTACTTGCTTATTCATGTAACATGTTAAAAGTTAAAAACACAGAGTACACAGTTTTGTTTATTAAATATTGTTTTATTGTCTCATGAACAATATGATTTTTTAATTATACAAAATAGTCCCTCAGGAGGTCTCACGATCCTTTTTCAAGTTTTCCCTCCTGTTACCCATTTAGGTTACCTCCAATTTTATGTGAATCTAAGTGATACTACATTGAACAGGCCTATACTTAAATCTTTAGCTACCAAATTATTATGCCACTCTTGGGGAAATTTTCTAGAAGTGGAGTTGTTGAGTAACAAGGAATAAACTTGTCAAAGGCTTTTATCCATATCGCCTAGTTGCCCTCTAGACACGGAACTTCACCCAGCGTCTCAGAGAGGGGCTTCCTCACAGTCCCAGCACTGAGAACAATCATTTTAAAAATTATTTTCTGCCAGGGCAATAATCACTGATGTCAAAGACTGATATCACTGTCTGCAACTGCATTTCTTTGCTCACTAGTGCGGAAGAGCAATCTGCAAGTCCGATGACCTTGTATCTCCGCCCGATGTGAGCCTACCTCCCGGTCAGCACGGATCATTCTCTGGGTTAGCTTCCTCCCCTGACTTGACTCTGAGATTGCTCAGTCAAGGGTTCATGGAACGGCGGCCACGATCCACTAAAAAGTCCACTGTACTTGGAATTGGCAAAAGGGAATTCAAGCCACCCGTGGCACCTACAGGCTGTGAGACTTTGGGTCAATTTCTTCTCCTCTCAGAGCTTCGCTTTATCTTCTCTGGAAAATGGGTATAATCACCCTAGTTACAGGAAGGCCAGCCACAGGAGGACAGACAACGTGCTTAATGTATGTTGCCCAGGTCCTGTGCTTCCCTGTGTCTTTTACGTTCAGCATGGAAGCATGAATCCAGGCACATGGTAGGTGTTCAAGAAATGCTTGTGGACGGATTAGTTGATGCCCTCAATTGATGCAGTGAGAGGGGCCCTACTCTCCAAGAAGTCGTCAGTCTCCTTATGTAGCGGGAACTCTGGATACCACCCCAAAATGATTATAATTGATACTATGTATTGAGTGCCTACTATGAGCTAGGCATATGCTAAGCATTCTGCATGTCTCCCTCTGTCTTTGTGACAACCCTATAAGGTACTGTTATTGTGACCATTTAACAGATGAGGAGACTGAGGCTCAGAGAGGTGAAGTGACTTGCCCAAGCACACACAGCTATGAATCTGGGGAGTGAGATTCAAACCCTCTTCCAAAGCCCTTAAACCCTATACTTTTCTGCTTCCTAAAGAAGCAGAAAAGACTGCTTCCTAAAGACTGGGAAACACCTGTGCCCTCTTCCTGTCTCCCTAGTCCTAGGGACAGGTCAGGTGTGTTTTGACACCAACCTTGAATCTGAGAACCCAGTGGGTCCAAAGTTCCCACCAGACTGAAGTGAGGCTCTTTTCACCAGCTCTGCCCATGCCCAAGTGTGGCCGTGGTTAAGGTTCTGCTTGGCTCGTTTGCACTGTCTCTCCTAGAACCTTGCATCAACCGCTTGGGTAGTTGTGACCTCCCTCCCTCCAGCCTTATTCAGTTCAAATCCCTTCTCTGCCGCTTACTCCCTGGAAGATCTCAGACGACGCGCTTGCTCTCTGAGTTTCCTTCAGGCCATGGCCAGTGAGAGACTCTGCCATCTTGTGTCCCTGAACTCCTGGGCAGGGCTTGAAATGGAGAAGGGGGCACTGAGGCCAGTTCCCCTCCTCCCGGTTTGATCGGCAGCTCCCCAGATGTCCCCAGGCTGGACACCTCAATGTGGCATTGCTCTGCACTTGCCAATAATAAAATCAAAAGCAGTAACAACTCTCCTTGCCCGGTGCTGAGTGCTTTACAGAATGACCATCTCATTTGATTATCAGAATACAGCAATAGATATAAGTGGTTACAGAGGACGAAATTGAGTTTCAGGGAGGCGAAGTGCCTTGCCTGAGCTCATGGCCAGTAAATAGCTACCTCATTGGGATCTGAACTCAGGACTGTTTGAATGCAGAGTATTTAACCATTATCTATCCATCTCCGTTGTTCCTCAAGGGTCAGGGTGTGAAGTTTTCGTCTCTGGAGCCCCTGCGTCTGGAACAAGGCTTGGCACAGAGCAGACGCTCAGGGAAAGTTTGTTCAACAGTCCTTGAGCGACCTTGGCCCTCTGTTTTGGGCTGGCTCTGTCAGGCCCAGTGGCATCGCGGGGGACTCGCGTGAGCCTGGCACGGTGCTCCATGCCTGACTTGCGTTATTTCCTGTAACCCTCACAACCGCCCAGAAGGTAGGTAATGTTTTTATTCCAATTTCACAGGAAAGGAAACAGACCCACAGAGAGCTGAAGGGACCCGCTTCACTCAGGGTCGGATGGGGCTCAGGCAGGTGTGGACTCCTTGCCCAGGGCAGAGGTCCCTTGGTAGACCCGTCCCCTGCCAGCTGCCCTCCTGTCCCCACGGTGCACATATATCCCTTACCTTTCCAGTCCAGCCAACTCCTTTCCAGATACAGAAATACACAAGGATCCAGGCGATGGCCAGCGTGATGGCCAGGGGCCAGCGGATCTGACCTGGCTTATCCAGCCCGTCTGTCATCTGGTGCATGTTGCGCCTGGCCGAACGGTGGAGGGAGGAGAAAGTCAGATGGGGCTGGCGGGAGCTGGAGTGACCCAGGGGTGCCCAGGACGGGGACATAAATGATATCCTCCCCAGTGACAGTGCTCACACCATGATCACCACGATTCGAGAGGTGGATGGGGGCTGTGAGGCTCATTATACTAATCAGTCAAAAGAGCAGTTTGGTCAACAGATCAAAGAGAGCAGGACCTGCCAGTGCCTTAGTCAGCCACCATCATTGCTCATCTGGTGGCCGAGTGGCCTCCTAGAATGACCCTGCCTTCACTTTTGCTCCGTCCTACTCCAGCCAGCCCCAGGGAGCCTTCTAAATTGTAAGTCTGATCGTGTCACTCCCCTGCCTAAAAACCTGCAATGAACAGCTCCCTCTTGTTCTCAGAGCGAAGCCCAACTCCCTCGGTCAGCTTCTCAAGGCCTTTGTGGGTTGGTCCTTGCTTCTTTCTAGAGTCTCAGGGCTCAGCGCAGCCCCTCAGACTCATCAGAAGGAACCACTCCTTGCCTGGGGTCTCTGCCATGGTCCAGCTCTTTCTGGGGAGGAAAGGACTTCACCATCCCTGGCGGCTCCTTTAACCCTGCCCACACGCCTGCAAATCCAGCCATGCATTGTTTAACGATGGGAACGTGATCTGAGAAATGCGTCATTGGGTGATTTCGCCGTGTAGACATCACAGACCTAGGTGGTAGCCTACAGCACACCTAGGCTGTACGGGACAGCCTATGACTCCTAGGCTACAAACCCGAATAGACAGTGTGCTTCTGTACTGAATGGTGCAGGCCGTTGTAACACAATGGTAGTACGTGTATCTAGACATATCTAAACGTAGAAAAGTTTCAGTAAAAACATGGCATTAGGTGTTATAATCTTATGGGACCACTGTCATATACGTGGTCTGTTGATGACCAAAACGTCATAACGCAACTCATGGCTTTATCGAACTCTTCCAGTGTCCCTTTGAGGGGCCTCTGTCTCCTGCCGGGCCGTGGCTGACGCGTCCTGCCCCTGACCCCATGGGTGGCCCCGTACTCACTCCCAGAACTCCACCACGGCACTGGTCATGTTGGTGGTGTTGACAATGCTGTAGTTGGAGAAGCAGCGGTCTGTGTTCCAGGGGTTGTCACACTGTTTCCACGGGAGTGTCTGCAAGGACATAGTCATGAGGACAAATCCCACTGAACTCCCAGGGGCTGGCACGAGTGGTCCCAGCACACCCTGCCCGCCCTCTCGGTCCCCCAAGTCTCCTCACAGCCATTAGCCCACTTCCCCTTCCCAGAAACTCTGGGAGGCAGGTAGCATTATGACCCCCACCTTATAGATCAGAGAGGGGCAGCAACTTGCTCAAGAATGCACAGCTACGAAGTGTCAGAGCTGAAATTTGAACCTTGACCTGCTCACTATGAGAACCAGCCTTCCAAGCTGCACCTGTAAGGTCTCATGGTGCACTTGGGGCACTCCCCAGCTGTGCGACCTTGGGCAAGAGCCCTCCCCCACCTGACTCTGCACAACGACGGTCACAGCAAGCCCAGGGCTGGCTCCACGCCAGCTGTGGTTCTAAGCACTTTACATACATTTGCTCCTTGATCCTCACAACAACACTGTCAGGTGGGTTTCATTTTCTTCCTTTTTTTTATTGTGGTAAAATACACATCACAAAATTTACCATCTTGACCATTTATAAGTATATGCAGTTCAGTGGCATTAACTACAGTCACGATGCTGTGCAACCATCGTCACTATCTTTAGAACTTTTTTCATTTTGCAAAACTGAAACTCTGTCCCCATTAAGCAACTCCCCATTGCCCTCCCCAGCACCTGGCAACCAGCATTCTACTTTCTGTCCATATGAATTTGGCTGCTCTAGTTACCGCGTATTGGTGAAATCACACAGGATTTGCCTTTTTGTGGCTGGCTTATTTCACTTAGTGTCCTCGCGGTTAATCCATGTTGTAACAAGTGTCAGAATTTCCTTCCCTGTTAGGGCTGAGTAATACTCTATGGTGTGGGTAGACCACATCCTGCTGATCCATTCATCCAGCAGTGGGCACTTGAGTGGCTTCCACCTTTTAGCTGTTGTGCATAATGCCGCTGTGAACGCCGGTGTACGGATGTCTCATTGAGATCCTGCCTTCGATTCTTTGGGTGTTTACCCAGAAGTGGAATTTCTGGATCATATGGTAGTTCTATTTAAAAATTTTGAGGCACTGAGGTGGGTTTCAATTTTATTCCCATTTTATAAATGAGGGCACTGAGACTCAGAGAGGTTAAGTCTCATTCCCAAAGTTGCACAGCTGGTATACAGTAGAGTCAATATTAGAACCCGGGATGCTGGGTCCATTCAAAATGGGCTAACCATACCCATGTTAGAGGGGTGTCGTGAGGATTAGCCGGTGGCCTACACGAAGTGCCTGGCCCAGAGACGCTCAGTTTGCAGTGCTTCGGCTGCTGTGGGGAGACAAGGGCTCTTAAGGGCAAGCCGAGTCCCCCACTCCTTGAGGAATGGCCCTGTCAGCAGGACGGCAGTCCCAGCAGACAGAGGGTGGGCTGGCTCTGGCTCCTGCTGGAGGGCGTGGTCAGGGGGCCACTCACCGTGGTGAAGGAGTTGTACAGGTAGTAGATGGCCCAGGAGATGATGACGATGTAGTAGATGTTGAGCCAGAAGGACAGCACGGCCGCCGCGAGGCCCACGCCTGGGGGGACACCATCACGCATCCATTACTCGGTCAGAACAGTGACCGAGCCGGCGTGTTCCACGGCACCTACAGCCTTATTGACCTTGGAGACAGGCATTACTGAGGACACTGTGGCTAAGAGAGAGGCAGTGACTTGCTGAAGGTCACGTGCATCTGGCAAGTGAGGGAGCCGGGACGCGTGCCTGGGACCAGTACGGGCTGGTAGCGGGCGGGGCCCAAGCCTCGGTCAGCGAGCGCGGCTCTCCCCATGTCCACCTGGGTGCCTGTCAGGCACCGAGTGTGAATCGAAGAAAGTCACGCCCAGACCTTGCTGCCTGACAGGGCAGGGCAGGCTGAAGTGCGGGGGCCTCTGGATTGGGTCCCTCCTCTCCACCTCCGCCACCCTAGTTTCTGACCAGTGTTGTCATCTGTCACCTGGTCCCTCGCAACAGCCTCTACTCCGCGTACACGTGAACCGAGCAGCTCCCTATCTCTGCAGGGGCCGGGGGTGTTGGGAAGCCCCTGGCAGGAGCGCACCACGACCCAGGGCCCACTCTGCGGACTTACCCTTGAACATGGGGGCCAGCTTCCACACCCCTAGCCCCCCGATGGACGTGTACTGGCCCAGGGAGCACTCCAGCAAGAAGAGCGGGACCCCCGCAAAGATGAGCGTCAGGAAGTAGGGGATGAGGAAGGCTCCTGTGGTGTAGAGAAGAAGGATGCTCGTGGCCCCGGGATTTGGGAGGAACCCCTGTCAGAGGCTGCACTGTGGCTCTCGGTCCCCATCCCAGGATTTCCTTATACCCTGCCTCAGTGCCGCAGCCAAAGCCAAACGGAGGCCCAAGGATGTCCTTTGCTCAAAATACACCCCGTTCTTTGCAAAATGAAGAGATGAGCTTTTTGGTATCATTGACAGAGGACAATTGTCCTTTGGAAACCTTTTTATAGAGGGGTAAGGAGCAAGAAACAGGGCCTGGAATTCCCTTCGGAGTCTTTAGGGGGCCTTTTCTCCTACAGCTGCCCCAGAAAATGCCTAAGTGGGTACTCTCTACGGGGTGCGACCCAGCTGGGAGGTCGCCAGTCCAGCACCTACCGCCGCCGTTTTTCCCGCAGAGGTAGGGGAACCGCCAGACGTTGCCCAGGCCGATGGCGTAGCCCACGCAAGACATGAGGAAGTCGAAGCGGCCCTTCCACGTGTCCCGGTCAGGAAGGTCCGCCGCCTTCTTCTGCACCTTGACCACCAGGGTTTTGGGTTTGTCATTGGCCACGGGGGCCTCGCTGACCTCAGTGGAGATCTGCCCATCGGCCACCTTGCTGCCGTTGGTCGCCATGTCTCGGAGTTTGGACACAGGGGTCCTGGCGGACGGACGTGCGATGTCAGCCCCGGTCCACGTGGACAGCAGTTTTGCGGCTCAAGGTCACCCTAGGAGGACAGATTTGGGGTGACAGGCACAGAAAAGGGGCAGAACCCTGGAGCTGCCTTGCCCCCAAATAACAAAAACAACCCACAAACAAACTAGGGGGTCGGAAGGCCCTCCGTAGCCCTCTTCCGCCCACCCGCCCCTGCTTCTTGTTTCTAAAGACACTGTGAGGATGACGCGGCCTGTCCACACACCCCAGGCTCGCTTCGGCTCTGGCCAGCTGTGTCAGACCCTTTATGTGTCCTGCTCAGAGAAGAAACCTGAGGCGACCAAACTTCCAAATGGAAATATTAAGTATTTCATGACAAAATCCTCATCTTCGCCTCCAAGGACGCAATTAGGAGATTTGTCACAGCCTGAAGCCACAGTAGCCACAGCCAGGGCAAGCAGGGAGGAGCCCGCCTGGGGCCGGGCAGGGAGGTGTCCGGCTGCAGGGGGCGGGCAAGGTTGGAGCCGGCAGCCATGAGCTTGGATCACAGTCCCCATCACCAACTGCGGGTTGTGTGACTGAGTAAACCCACCTGTCTGTACGCCCCTCACTGGGTTGTTAGAAAGCCTCGAGTCTGTACTTTTAACCAACTCTGCAAAAGGAGGTTCTTACACTGGCAGCCCAGCCCCAGCCCTCAGTCGAAGATGAGGCTTAGATGCCTCTTTTGACTCTCGGTCACCCCAAAGTGTCCTGTTGACTCTCTACACCCTTCTTGCTCCTTTAGTTCCAGAGGCAACATGGGGTAGAGCACAGAACAGGAAACTGGACTCTGACCAGTCCTGGTTTCAAATCTCCAGTCTGCCTTTTACAGCTGAGTACTGTTACTCAGTACTACCACTCAACACTACTACTAAGTACTCGATTGCTCTCAGTTTGCCCACTGATAAAATGGGGGCAGCCCTCTCTGGCTTGTAGAGTTGTGGCAAAAGTAGCTTGGATGGCTGTTCCCCGCCTGGCTGAGAGTGAGACTCCACGAACGGTCGTCATCATTGTGGTCGCTGACGTTACCTGATGGTCTGTGCTCCGCCAGCTGTAGAAAGGCTCCCTCTGCCGAGCCTGGGTGACCTGGGCGACGACAGCCTGCAGAGCAGAGAAGGGGCGGAGGGGGGTGGTGAGGCAGCAGGGACTGGCAGGCAGCTCCGGCAGAGGGCAGCAGGGGTGCGGGAGCCTGCCAGGGCACGGGCTGTGCGCGTGTCCCGCAGAGCGTCCTCAGCCAGGTGACTGCAGCGAGTCCATGCAGCGTGGCGCTGGTTCTCGGGGTGCCGGGAACATGCAAGGCGGGAGGCTGCTGCCCTCGGACAGCTGTGGGAGGGGCACGAGGCCAATGCGAGCAACACGTTCCATGATTTTATCAGAAGGGAAAGAGAAGTCAACAGAGGGCTACAGCCCCCAGGGCCCACCCGGGAGCCGGCAAGGACAGCCGGCGTTTTCCACCATCCTCCATCCCATCTGTGGAAACGTCATAAAAGACCATGTGAGAGCGTGAGCAAGAGCACCTTGTTTTGTGGGGTGAGAAAAGCAGGTTTTGAGACAGTTTATTTCGAATGATCCATTTTTGCTCCCTCCCCCCAAATCTGTCCATTTAAAATCAAAGCCAAAAACATGAAAGATATACCCAAAGATATTTATGATGATCAATTTATGAGTGCCCTTTGCTTTCTTCTTTGTGCTTTTTAAAAAATGTCTATAATGTTCTACAGAATTTGTTTAAATGAATAAAATAACACAAAATAAACTGGAACCCTCAGAACACGCTGGAACATGTGAAGCCCTGGTCCGTGGATTCTCGGAGGCAGGAGCTGCGGCAAAGCGAAGTGCGTGCGGGCCCTGGCCCTGGCCCTGCCCCAGCGGCCTCCTCCCCACCCCGGCCCTGCCGCTGGGCCCCAGCTTGCTGCACCGGCCCTCACATGCAGTCCCGTTACCTAGCACCACCGTCTCCTCCCAGAGTTCGCGGAGAACCAGACCATCTTCTGAGGATCAAACTCTATCGCCACCCTGCTTCTTGTCCTCGAGGACTGCCCGCTCCGTTTGAGCTCCTCCACGGCCTGCAGGCTCGAATCGGATGCCCGCCTAGAGCCCAGCTTGGGCTCTGGACTCTGGCAGGGTGGCCGCCTCCCATCCTCGAGAATGGCAGGAAGTAGGAGGCCGCCCATTCTGTGGTCTACCAGGCAGTCTTGGAATATGCAGGAGAGACAGCCTCAGCCCTTAACCGTCCCCATGATCTGCCCTTGTGGGCGCCAGCTGCCATATTTGTTCAAAACGATCCAGGCACCTCGGACCAAGACTGACACCCTGACTCAGGCTAGCCAATCAAACGCCTTCCCTGGGAATTTGTCCCGGGACCCAGGAGGAGGGGCAGTCTCACCAGCGACTTGGGAACACCGAGGCAGCCTGCTCTGCCCATCGTGTACTCAGAGGAGCAGAGCTGGTCTGCTGAGGAGGAGGAAAATCAGAGACCAAAAGACGGAGAGAGTGTCTTGAAGACATTCTAGATTGCAGTTCTAAGACTGGCTACAGCTTCGTTCCTGTTCTTGGTTTTCACAAAAATCCACATTGTTGTAAGGGCCCTTTTTGGCTTACACTGACTGGGGCTCCCGTTTCAATCTTAAATCTCTGCACCACCCCTCTGGTCCACCAGGAAGTTCAGTCCATGAGTTCTTCTCTTTGAGTGTATGGAGCGCCTCCTCGGGCCAAGCCCTGCGGGACCAGAGATGGTGGCTGCTCCGAGGAGCTCACCGTGAGGAAGACGTGCATGCAATTTCCAGAACACGGGGGAGTGCGGTCAGGTTCAGCCAAACGCCCGTAACTTCCATAGGAAGAGCCAAACGACCACACATGGGGTTTCTCTTTTAGAAAATGTGGAACATATGAAGATGAACGACGTAAAGCCATGCGTTAATATAACGATGCTTCTCAGAGGATTTCGGATTGAGAAGGCTCCTCAGCCTGCACGGCAGCAAAGGCACCCCAGGGCTGAGTCAGCCGGACCTTGGCTCCCTGCGACACCTACTAATGCTAGGTGAGTTACTTCCCCTCTCTGATCCTCATCCGTAAAATGGGGGGTAATGATAATACCTCCCTCGTAGAGTCGCAATGACAATTGAATGAGATCGTGTGTGTAAAGCAGATAAAACAAGGCCTGGCACAGAGGTAGGGCCTGGGCCATCTCGGCACTGCTGTCACTGTGATGGTGGCCACCCACGTGTGCACCGGCAGTTCTGAGTTGGGCATGTGTGGCTTCCCAGAAGGCTAGGACGCAGTAACAACAACTAACATTTATTAAGGGCTCATTATTCAGGTCTTTCAGCATCTTCAGCATTTTCAAGAACTCAGTGGAAATCATCCTTTCAGTCCCCATGGGGAGTAGCAGCTAATAAAAACGTCAGTCTCTTTGCTCTGGGCTCTCTTTCTACCAGTTCGAAGAGGTCTAGCTCATCACCTCGGGCCACTCAGAAGCTGGGAGTGGTACATTTATGTGTTTGGTTAATAAAAAAATAATTACTGTGTAATAAATAAAGTCTGGTAGGAAAGAAATCCCACCATCTAGTACATGGGATGAAACTGATAAGGGACCCAGGGCTTAACCGGGGTGGTCCCGGGAGGCGCCCGCCCTTGCACACCCGGGGAGCGGCTTGGGGATTGCAACGGATGACACTGGAGTGTTAAGCCGTCGCTCCCCTCTCTTGTGACAAATGGCCTGCAGGAAGCACAGCGTGTGCAGGTTCACAGCAAGGTAACCGGGCTATCTTTCTAGAACATTATCTTGGAAGCAGAAGCGACCTTTTTGCAAACTGTTAGTTCCCCTTTCCTGAGACACACGGCAGTGTCTGTGGCTCTTGAGGACGTTGCTGGAGGACGGCTCTGTGGGTCTGCAGTGGTAAGGCCACATGCTTCTTGTACCTTGTCGTGACTGCCAGGCTGTGACCTTTGCTACCTGCTGGTGGAGCAGGTGGAAGGAACACCTCTCACCTTCTCATGATTTGAGGCATTTTTCGAGGTCCTGCTTCCAGAGTCTTCCAATTCTTCCTCCGCAGGTGCCAACGTTCTGCAGACTGAGACTCTAGCTACGCATTCCTTCAGGTGCGTACTATAGCACCACGAACCGCGTTCCACCAAGGCAACATTTGAAAGGTCACAGTTCATATGAGCCCATCAGTGACAAGTCCTCTGTGTTCACTCCCCAGCTCATTCACTCCTTCATTCACTCAACAAGTATTCACTAAGCACATGCCCTGTGCTAAAACGACGATGGGACAATTTTTTTCAAGCGTTTTGTGTTCTGAACTACACCCTGGTCACAAGTTTGAATTAGTTAACTAACAGCTTCCAGCAGAAAGATGCATTTCTGTAAACCTTTACTGAGGCCCTACTATGTGCATGGGGCAGGGCGGACACTCAGGATGCAAAGACAAGGCCTGGTCACTGCCTGGAAGGAGAAGTACTTCTGCCTCTAGCTGATCATGATGCTCTGTGATAAGTGCTGCGAGAGGTGTAAGAACAAGGCACTACAAGTATGAGTTAATTCAGCCAGAGAAGGTATCTCAGATGAGGGGCTATTTGAGCTGGGCTTTGAAGGTTGAATAGGCATTCATCAGGTTTTAAAAGAGGGAAAAGGCATCCCAAGTGGAGGAAAATGCATGAACAAAAGTAGGGAAGTGTGAAGCTAGGAAGGTCAGTTTGTGAAGGGCCTTGAATACCAGGCTAAGGAGCTTAGGGATCAGTCTCAGGGATGGGGCAGGGGTGATAATGTGATCAGATTTGTATCACAGAAGAAGATGCACTCAAGAAGCCTCTGGAAAGGATGGAGTTAAGGTAGGAAGGTGGTGGAATGTCCCCATGATGCCCCATCCTTCCTTGGTGTATGCTCTGTGATCAAGTCCTGAAGCCATCTATAAAAACACGGCCACACTAAGCAGAAAGAATACCTCTGCCAATCCCTGAATGAGGAGATGCTTTGTAATAAAAAAAAAGTATGTGGAGTTTGGAAGCCCTAGATCAGGAGTGGCAAAATGGGTCAAAATTCACCCTTGGGCTTATTTTATTTGGCCTGAGCAAAAAACAAAAACAAACAAAGAA